CGGGCTGGTCTCAGACTCCTGGCTTCAAGCCATCCTCTCGCCTTGGCCTTCCAAAATGCTAGGATTACTGGTGCGAGCCACTGCGCCCAGCCAGAATCCAGTTTTAAAGATTTTATTCAAACAAAAACTTGGATATGGCCATTTAGAAAACACAGTCTCCAGAAAAATGGGCTCAGTGCTCCAAAGTTAAAGGTGAAATTCTTGCTTATGTAGGCAAAAGCCAATAAAAGGTAACAGGATTACAACACTTTGCATGTAAGGCTGTTTTATGAGGTCCTAGAGTTTAATTGGTTACAATTTGTGTTTTTTCCCATGGAATTCAGATTTCTGGCTGCTCAGGTTTCCCTCCCACACTGCCTTGGAGTGAGCCACCCCGGGCTCCATCTGCAGGGTCAGGTTGGGTCCCAAGCTTGTTAATGTGCTGACCTGTGGGAGTGTGGGGTCCCCTGTGAACTGGGGGTGCTGCCAGCTGCCTGCCTGAGCTGCTTCCCTTTGGTTTCCTTTGCTGCCATCTATTTGCTCTTTACCCAAGGATTTGAGAATTTTCTTTCAAGATTTGTGTGCAATAATTTTATTCATTTGGTTGGAACCTGAGTGGATTGTGTGATCAGGTCTGAAGAAGCAGATAGAGTTCCTGCAATAAATTGTTTGATGCTAAGTTGAAATAGTAAGAACATAAATACCCAGGGACACACCATCCAGGGAATTCAATAGACCTTGGGCAGTTCTGGTGTGCCTCCCTGATTTTACCTTCCTTTGGCACCCAGAGGTGACCAAAATTGTGATTCGTTTTGTTTATTCTTTATAGCTTTATAATCCCTCAACTTATTCGTTATAGCTTTATCATCTCTTAATCAAGATGTAGAGTTTTGCCTCTTTTGAGTTTTCAGTAACTTAACATTACCATTTATATGCCATTAATAAATAATATGCTGATACAGTCTATTTCTGGTTTTCTTGCATTCGTTTGTTGTAAACATGCAGCTGTTGGAATTCGTGGGTCACCCAGTTTACTGACTCTATACACTGCTTATGGGACTTGGGTTGTTTCAGTTTATTTTTCGATCTTGTTGACAATATCATTCTTGTTTTTGCCCTCAATAAATGCAACATGAATTTCTTATCCATTGGGAAAAAATGCCTGGGTTGTAGAGGATGGATAAATTCCAGTTTCCTAGGAAATGCTGATAAAGTGTGTGTGTGAATTAACCATCTCACCATTCATGCATGTGTGTTCATTCTTCTGATTTATCAACACTTGAAATTATCTAACTCATTCCTTTTCCACCATCTAGTGTTAAATAGAATCTCTTTGTGAATATTTATTGCTGGTTCCCATTGGTTGAGCATTTTTCGTATGTGATTATGCATCTTTTGCGAAATAATTTCCAGTCATTTTCTCACATTTTACTCATTTGTACGTTTATTGCCTTTTTTTTTTTTAACATACTGTGAACGCTATTTCATTCCTAGAGTCAGCAAATATTTTCTTTTAGGTTGTGGTTTATCTTTTCATTCCATTCTACCTTTTGATGGACTCTTATTTTAATCAAATTTAATTTATCATTCTTTTCATTTGTGCCTTCTTTATTTTCCTAGATAAGAAAACATTGCCTACTTTGAAGTCATAGAATTTGCCTATAACTGGCTCATGAGATCCTCTCATCTCAGCCTCCCAAGTATTATAGCTAGGACTACAGGTGTACCTCACCTCAAGTAGAGTTTCCTAATTTCAATCAAAAAACAAACAAACCTGGTTTGAATTTCATGGAATTTACTAGAACACTAGATGCATTTCAGAGAGGTTATATCATGGGGATATTCAATCTCCTTTCTAAGGACATGTGACATCTTTTCATTTATTTCATTATACATTGATGTCTTTCAATGTATACTTTTTGCATTATAATCATTTTTACATCAGCATTTTTGGGGCTTTAGGGAAATAAGTTTAGTGAAATTATCATAGTTTTGGGAGTTTTTTTTGTTTGTTTGTTTTAAGATACAGGGTCTCGTCTCGCGCTGTCACCAAGGCTAGAGTGCAGTCACCTGGATTGTAGGATACTGCAACCTCAAACTCCTGGGCTTAAGCAATCCTCCCACCTAAGCTTCTTGTGTATCTAGGACTCCAGGGGGGTCACCATGCCTGCTATTTTTTTTTTTTTTTTCATTTTTTATAGAGACAGAGTACCACTATGTTACTCAGGCTGGTCTCTAACTCCAGGTCTCAAAGGATCTGCTGCCTCAGCCTCCCAAAGTGCTAGAATTACAGGCGTGAGCCACTGTGGTTGGCCTTGCTTATGTTTTAAATGGTTGTTTTCTTCTCGCGGATTAGGAGTTCTTTGTACATTATGGGTAGCAGGCCTTTATCAGATAGATGTTTTGCAAATATTTTGTCCCAGTCTGCGGCCTGTCTTTCGTTCTACAAAAACAGTGTCTTTTGCAAAACAGAAAGTCTTAATTTGAATGAAGTCTAAATTTTCAATTTTCTCATTCACAGATCTTGTTTGTGGTGTTGCATTTAAAACCTTCTTGCCAAATACAGGGTCATTTTGATATTGACCTGTG